AATTTTTCATATTTGAATTTTAATTTTATGAAAATATTTTTATGATCTCTTGAATAATATGAGATTTTATTACAAAATTTTGTTAAAGAAGAATATTAATATTTTCCACAGCCTAAATATATGCAATTTTTTTTTTTGTTTTATACTTTAGTCACGAAAATTTTTGTTTTATAAAAATCAAATAAAATTGTTATTATAAACAAAAAAATATAATTTTTTAAATTTAAAATTTTTTTTTGTCATTTTGTTTTTTGTTTTCTAAAATTCTTTTCACGTATTTTTAACCTTTATCCTATACCCAAAATGAATAAGGTTTTGCGTATTTTTTTTTTTGTTTAACCACATTAAATTTTTTTTTTTTCAATTTTTATGGTTCCTTATTTTTTTTTTTCTGGTTAACAACAATATACGAAAAAATAAAACAAAAATATTTTTAACTAATTTATTCATAAGTGCAGCAATTTGTAAATTAAAAAGGGAAAAAAGGAACAAACGAATCTCCTCTTATTTGAATCCTTTTCTTTGTTTTTGTTATTTTTGTTCCAAAAGGCCTGGACTTTTCCAAATAAAAACGAAACCTAAACGTTTTTTATTTTGAAAAGTCCAGTTTTTTGTATTTATTTTTTATAGTTTAAAACATCGTAGGTATAAAGGAGTGGGAAACCGCAAATATATGTAATTCTATTGTATAGAATATGAGATTTTTCATGCATTATTTATTTTGGTATAAAAAAAAAATTATGAAAAATTTTTGGGGTCCATTTTCAGAATGGTTTTTTATTTATTATAATAACAAGTACTAAAAAATTTCTCTTCCTTTCTTTGGAAATAAAAAACATTGGGAGCACAAGAGTTACAAATTCTTCCTTTTCAAATATTTTGTGTGTAAGTTTATTAATGCTGATTGCAACTTATTGTGATTCTTCTACAACTCCTGAATGTTTCAACCAATTAAGTTGATTATTAAATGGTTTCGTTTTACTACACATCTGTCCTTTATTAAATTTTTAAAAAAAATTCAGAAAAAAAATTATATTTGAAAAGTTTTTAATCTTATTTGAAATTTAAAAGCAAACTCGTATGTTGTTGCGTACGGAAAAACTAATTTTCAACCTTTTAATTACTATTGATTTGGAAGTGTCTTCCCATTTTCAAAAAGGCAATAATTTACTAAAGGTCACCTCTATTTTTTACATCGTTTTATTGATTTTGCATTATTTCCTTTTTATTATTATACGATAAAATCCTTTTACGTTACAATAATTTTTCCAAACTGTACATCCTTCTATGCTATTAACCTTTATACATATTTCTACAAACAAATTGTATGAAACAGCAAGGAAATCTACATTTGTATACTTATTTTTTTTTTGGTAAGCTTTTCCTCCCATGTGTATGAAAATTAGAAGAAAAAAAAAGAAAAGGAAAAACTTTCTAATTAACCAAAATAGCCTTTGTAGTTTGTTCCTACTACCGTTATTGTATTTATATTGCTACATGTATAGTAAAAAATGTGTAAAACACTCAACTCAATACAAATGTGGTAGGAACAACAATAACGGTAACAAAAAAAAAACAGTAATAAAAACCAATATATAAGGACTTTAATAATAGTTAATTCCATTTTTGTTTATTTAACTGACCGCATTGGACACAATAGAAGGAAGGTATAGCAATCTGCCAGACAAATTTTCAACTGAAATGCTCCTCTTCATGCTGAGACACTATTATAGGCTTATTAGAGGCATATTTCAGCTGACGGAATTTTCGTTTTAAATCCAAAGCGTATGCCAAATAATTATCGAAAAATCCAAAATGTACCAACCCTTTTTCTTGGAAGTTTTTGATAAAATTATTGGGAAATGAGTTTAGAGCATGATACTAAAGCAATTCTCAATTGAAAAATGATATTTATTTTGATACATACATTGAAATAAAAGGGACCACTTTCGTATAAAAACAAAAATCCTGGTAATCGAACATGAAAACAGCTAAATGCGTTTCTGAAGTACAAAAACAAATTTTCGGCGAATTCGGCCTGAAATTTCCTTTCCGAGTAAATCAAATTACAGTGGCCAGACCTATACGTAACATCAATACAACAATACACATTTTAATTTTCTCACTTCTCTCAATTAGACTCTAGCTAAACTATAACTCTGTCTCAATATAGAGTAAAATCTAAGTTGGTCATTCGGGAAATATGAATAAGCTCTATAATGTCCTCATAACATCAAATTGTCATCTTATTTTGTCTCTTTTATTGAACACCCAAAAAAAAAATTTATTATTTTTTTTCTCTACTTTAATTTTGTTTGTTTTACAAAATTAACCAAGCAAAATGGAAATAACATGAAAACTACTGCATAGTTCAACAACAAAGAAGGACAATAATAAAAAAAAGAACGCAATTTTAACAATAGAAAAGGGTTGATCCTTTTGAATTCTACCAAATGCAAAAAAAATTTTTTTTGAATAAAATTAGAACAAAAGATTTTTGAATGACTGAAGAAGAAGAACAAGGATTTTGTTTTATTTCTACAATAAGAAATTATTGTAGTCTGTTCAGGCTTTTTTACATGAATAATATGAACAAAAGTTAAGTACATCCTTACAACCATTGATAGAAGCTTAAATTATTCATGCTTCATGTGAATATATGAGGCAATTTAAACCGCATCTCTACAAAAATTGCAAAAAAAAATGTTACGATTTCGTCACAAAAAAAAAACTTTTCTTCAATACATCAAATTTCTTAACTTAATTATGATCCCAAAGGACATTGATAAAAAATATGTGACAAAATAACAAAAAAACAAGAAAAACATTTCCATTTTCGGTTTTTCTAGTTTTTGTTTTTTCTTATTAAAATCCAATGACTAGATAATGACTACAATAACAAAAAAGGAAGCAGAAAATGAAAGTTTTAACAAAGTGTTATAGGAGAGAGAAAAACAGATTGAGAGAGAGAGAGCGGGAAGAGAAAAAGAAATGAAACCCAATATGAAAAATGAAAAGTCATGAAAACTTTATTCCTTAATCTAAGGACTTTGAAATAAAAATAAAAATGAGAAAAATAAAGAAAATGAAAAAGGATCAACACATTTAAATTGAAAATTTATTAGATTTTATTCTATTATGTGTGAAAAACAAAAACAACAACAATAATAAAATCATATGTGATTATTCTACATTTCCAATTTTACTTACATATTTAAATTTTCTATTAAATTTTCTTTAAATTTTAAATTTGAGTTCAGTCCTACATGAATATGAGATCTACCATAAAAACGTTCGGTGTAATAGGGTAAAGAATGAGTCATTTTATGATTTTTCTGCTTAAATTTAAATTTTGCAGCTTCAATGTGAAATAGTCTTTATTATAAAATTTGGCCCCTATAATGCCCCCAATTTCTTATAATATAATTCAAGGGGCAATTTCGTGCAAATCGAGCACAAAATTTTAAGAAATCCATTTTCACTTATTTCAAAGGAAATAGCAAGACCCGGATAAATTTGATTTCATTTCAAAAAATTTCTATAGGACTAGAATTTCGGATTTGAATTTTTTTCTTACAAATCTCTAATAATTTCACATTCACAATGATCTTCCGAATGAAACGTGGTAAATATGTAACTCTTTATGCGACTGTGAATTTTTAAAAAATATTAAAAAACAAAAATTAAATAAAAAGAATACCTGCTATATACAATAAAAAAAATTGTTTTTGTATAGAACTATGCCATTATGCTCCTGGGCCTCTTAATATTATTAATTAATAGTAAATTCTAATACAATTTGAAATATTAAAATTTTAAAACTAAAAAAGGATTAAAATGAAATAAAAAACCTATTGCAAAAATTCAAGAGGCCAATTATGAAATTTAAATTTCTTCAATATCGTAAAAATTTTTAATTAAGAGAGAAAAAATTCGCTTCAAATAAAACCCAAGTACTTCTAGTCGAATTTTATTCACTCCTATTGCGCATAATATGGAAAAATAACGTTCAATGTGTTAAAAAATAAAACTATGTTGTATATACAAAAACCTACTAAAAAAATAATATTTTCTAACCATGTTTAAGTACAAATTGTGGCCAATCACACAAAAAAAAGCCTCTCGAAAAAATTCTATTATATAATTTTCTTTAATCCTCTTAGAAAAATTAATAAAATTGCATTGCAGTATAACAAATACAAAATGTGTACGAATTCAACCTTAAAGGACTTTAACTACATTGTTAATATAATGAAGAAGCAGCAGCAACAGAAGAACAATAAAAATTAATTGAATAATATCCAAGGGCTTTTTTCTATTGTATTTTCTTTGTGTATATTCTAGCACTGTACAAAAATATAGAAAATTGTATAAGATAAATATTGTATAAAATCAGTTTTTTACTATTACATATTTTTATAAGAATATAGAAATGCTAATATATGTTTACATGTAATATACAGGGTGATTTTGTGAAGAGTACAACATCATATACAATTGTTTATTTATCGGACTATGTACGGTTTTAATTGACGGGTAAATATGCGGAATAATTTCGAAAAAGCAAAAATTTTGTAACACCTAATTTTTGAAATTTGCCATCTTGGAAAACGCCAAATCTTCGAACCTTTAAGTACCTCTTCCAATTTTTTTGGAAGAGGTAGTTAAAGGTTTTGAAACTTTTTTAGTAAAAGTTCTGTTCCTCTTAAAAAGGAACCCTGTATTTCTTAAATCGTACGGTTTTGGTAGCTTTTCTGAACAAAAGCTTAGCTTGTATTTGAGTTTTAAATAAATGGTGACATATGCGATTTTACCCATTAAAGAATAACCCTGTATATAAATATAATGTATACTGAAAATACTTTTTTTTATTCTTAAAAATTTAATTTTTTTCCATGCTTGAAATCAGGTCATCTTTTCTTCATCTCCAGTCTATAGATTTTTTTCCTTATAACATTTTATTTTTGTTTTTTCTTTTTCAGCTTGGTGTACAAGTATTTAATATATGTGGATACCCCAAAATATAGCATTAAACAAAAATTTAATAAATATATAAATATCGGAAAAAAATTAAATAAGATGGATTAAAGGAAAACAAAAATAAAATAAAAAAAAAAATCTAAAAAGTGTATAACAGTTTTTAAATCGTATAACAGTTTTTACTTTATATTTAAAAATTAATACTTAAACCATTAAATTTTAGTCTTATATTGAGATTAACTTCAGATTAAAATATAAAATGAAGAATGGTGCAAAACAAAAACAATAAAAAAATTACATTGAAAAATAAAAAAAATGTATGATGTGTATAACAGTTTCCAAAACTAATATAACAGGTTGAAAATTGGTATACTCTATGGTGAATATTTTTAAAAGTTTCCATAGTATTTTTTTTGGAGAAAAATATTTAGTAATAAAATTAGAGAGGACACAATTCTTGCATAATGCGCAGGAACAGAGTTTTTTTGAATAAAGAAATTGTATAATAATATAATATTATATTATAGCTCCTATTTTTGTTCTTTTTTATAACAGTTTAACACAAAATGAGATTAAAAATTATTATGAAAATGAGAGAAAATTATTTAATACACAAAATGAAAACATAATATAACGAACAGTTTAAATAATATAACAGTTAAAATTATCTCAATTTTGAAATACATAACAATGAATAGTATATAAGTAATATAATAGTATAATATAACAGTTAATGTAAAAATGAACAATAAGAATATTACTAAAACAGTTTCAATATCATAAATATATATGTCAAGTAAACAGTGTTGAGAAATAAATTTTTCGCATGTATGTATATAACAAAATACAAGAAGTGTAAATAATTGTGACAAAAAACTTGTTGTACGTAGCATCATTCAGAATTTGAATCTTTGTATAATATGTGCTTAAATTATATTGATATCAGTATAGTGAATATAGGTGGTGAATAATTTTTCAAAAGAAAATATTTATTTTCCCTGATATAACAGTTAAGAAGTTATACTACTTTGTGTATAAACTTGTATTATTTATTATTTTTAAAATGTTCACTTTGTTTTCATTTTTGAAATAAAATACATACATACATATTTAGGTAAAATTTTATACCTTATATAAAAAATTACTGATATATAATAGTTTTATACATATAATATTAAATTGTTATAATAAATTATAATTAATAATAATTGTTTTATAAAATTTTAAAAAAATACACAAAAAAAAAATTCAAAATGATGAGCATTAAAACAGAAGGTTATTTAAAAAATATGGGTAGTTTACCAAATTTACATGAATTGGAACGTGTTAGGCGCCGACTCGAAGATGAACAAGAATTAGCAAAAAGAGAACAACGTGCACGTGAAGAACGTGAATCAATTAGAGATCGAGAGAGAATACCAATGTCATTACAATCAACACAGGTGAGTTTATTTTTGAATTGTTATAGAAATTTTTTTCTTATTTTTATTATTGAAATAAATTCTATAAACATTCTGTTATATTGTAATACAAATATATTTGTATACGGCATTGTTATTGATTCTCATATTTACTAACATTGTATTTTTTGAATATTGAAATATTTTTGTATTTGACATTTTATTTTTATGCCATAACACAGTATACTCGATACAAATAAGTACGTATACATCTATGCGTATAAAGTATTATAATAAAATATAAATAAATAAATATTGTGTATATATACAATATAAAAACAGAAGTTTATGGTCGGGCACCATTACTTTAGAAAGTCTGATGTGAAAATAATTCCCATTAATCCTTAAATATTTACATTATAAAATTTTCATACAAATTTAATACTATTTGCTATGTATGTATGGGTGTACATTGTAATATATATGCCAGAATATGTTATACAATTTACACTTTTATTACTATAGAGCTTAATTAAAAAGTAAACAAAGAAAATACCATAGATGATATAGGTGTACTCTTAAGCACATTAACGGAAATATATTTTAGAAATATAACGATCAAATCACATTACTATAAAACAAAGAAATGCATTCAATGGGGAGAAAACAAAGAAATAAATTCCAATTTTAAAACTATATAAAGATTTCATTGCAAGTCAAATACAATTTTAAAAATTATTAAAGAAATTAATGTTTTATTAAAAAATACAGACAAAAATTTGGATTAATAGATTCAGAATTTTTAGCTCAGAATAAACTCAGCAGTTTATGGTCGCCCAGTTAATTATTCTAAATTTAAATAGCTTGAATTTTCAGCAACATGATTTTAGTTGATCGTTCGTTCGGTTATTGATCTCCTTATAAACGAATTCATTTAAGAGACTTAGATATAAAGTTGCAGTTTTCTATACCCAAATGTATATTTAAGAAAAACTAATATTTCTCTAGGACAAAATTGAATCTATTTCCCTTCCTTTTCTACAAGATATATCCCCCCAAGGGCTACTTTTTAGAATTCTACAATTTAAGACAGTAATTAGCGGGCTTATTCTGTCAAAACAAAATTTTTTTCCACTTCTTCCCTCTTATTCGCAATTCAAATCTAAAAGAAATCAAGATTCACCAAAAAAAAATTTCTTCGAAACTGTAAATTTTTCTAAAATTCCTAACACAACAAAGAACACTAATGGTGGATGCATTTCAAGTAAAAATTTAAGATCTTCACCTAAAAGTATGCAATTTTAAACTAAGATTTATTTTTAATCAAAGTGTTGTGACTTATTTTAAGAAAATGGGCGTCTCTGCAAACTATTGCTTTGCTAATCCGAAATTATTAAGCTTAACCTTAAAATTTTTAAATTAAAGTGCATTTAAAACTAAAGGTTTTAAAAGGTTTTAAAGTGTTTGGGCTACTTTTATATTACGATTATAATGAACAGACAAAAATTATCGAATGTACTAATTTTTGATTCAATTTTATCAAATTTTGTTATTTAATTTAAGAAAATTCTTGACAAAAAGAGAGAAATTTCATTTTTATTATAAAAGGATTTAACATTTTAAATATTATCTTTTATTATTATCTCAGACATTATAGAAATTTCCAAATTTTAATGATTTCGGAGAATTTTGTGAATATTTGTTTTATATTTTATAATCAGCTACATTATACTTTGCTATTTTCACCATTCCTTGTACCTTATATATAACCCGAACAGAGGGCAAAAAAATCCTTGTTATTTTGTCTATTAATTTTTCAAGGTCAATTTCATATAACAATTTAATAAATAACTAAATTTAATTGAAAATTAGAAGCAACAGAATGAAAAAAATAATTATAATAAAAATAAAATAATCATATTGTTTTTTTTTGGGGTAAAAATTTTAATACTATTTCAAAGCTTAAAATATAAAATTAAAAATTAAAATTTTAATATACTTAAAAACCATCATCCTCAAATTTTAAATAATTTATTTTCCTAAATTCAAATAGAATTATAAAGAGATGTAGGAATGTGAGAAACAAAGAAAACACTTTTATACATATAGGTATAGGTTAACAAAATATAAATACTAAAATATTAAAACAAAATGAAGTCCCTATATAATTGGAGAGAGAAAACGAAGGGTTTTCAGACTTGTTAAAGAATTTATTTATAATAGAATTGGGAATACATGACTATAGATTTATACTATAAATATATTATGTATAAAAATGCAATATATAAATGAAAATCTGTTGCTATACATTGTCATCCATAAAAATGGTGATTGTTAAAATATAACATTTGATATACATATGTATTTATAAGATAAATTTATTTTGTTAAAATTATGCACCATCTGAATAACGCTGATGAATAATTGTTTGAGATATTGACATACTGCCAATTATGTTAATTTTCTAGTTAAGAGGAAAGGGCGAGTACATCCCTATGAATTCCAGAAGATTCATAGGAATGAGCAGGAACAAAGTTCGCACGAATCTCGTGATGGGTAATCGTCGTACTTAAGGGTACTGGAGGGGGCGTACTTACTTTGGCTGGAATATGTATCTTTAGTCCACAGAACAAGGAATTTTCTGGCTGGCTTTGTCTCGAGGGCGGCCACACAAGATACTCGACTGTGCTAATAAAATAAGTCTCGGAGGAGTACTGTAGACGGTATGTCAAATAATTAATTGAAATCAGAAACGAATAATATAAGTCCCCGTATCTGTGAAGCACTTTCTAGACACTAAATTATCCTTGAAATTACGTAAACAAGAACGGAATACTACTTGCAAAAATAGTTAAAAACTATATTGTAAATCTTGTACAATGATAAATTAGCTTAAAATTTAATTCTAAATTATTTGCTTTCAATCTGAACGAATCAACTTGCATGAGCAAACTGTTGAAGCTAAAATATAGACATTTCTCATAAACAAACATGGTAATGTGGTTATTCTTTATAAAAAAAAAGTATAATTTAGAAAAATATGTGCAAACAGGAGGACCGCATGCAATTTTAAAATTTATCTTGAAAGTTGTTTAAACCATGCGTGCCACTGTTCAAATTTAATACAAACTACTTTATTACAAGACCCAATATTGTATAAAAAACGAAATGAAATATGCATACTTCAATAATGAGGTAGATTAACTTTGATTTTACTTATGAACGTTGATATAGGGTTGATATAGCCAGGATTTTTTAAGAAAATTAATTAGGGCATCAATTTATAATAAAAAACACACATATATACATAGAACAGCTAAAAGTTAATGGATATAATAATGTAAAATGATGAATTTTTAGAATATTTTTCGTAAAAGAAAGGATAAAAATTAATTAAAATGTTGATTATAATTGAAAAATAAAATCTAAACATACTCACCACGATTTTCACCTTAATTTCATATATGTTTTTTGGTTTTTTTAAAATTATATATCTCTTGAAAATTAAGGATAACTGACTGATATTTTGAATATTGTAAATGAAGAAAACTAATTTTTGTTAATTAATACATGCCTTAAATTATTTAAGAAAGGTAAACCAGTAGTATCATATAGAATAACCTATGCAGTTTCAATGTAACTACCTATGTAGTGATAACCTGTGCAGTTCTAATTTGTTATTAGAAAATTAGTTTAATCATTTATGAATTGAATTAAAATTAGGAACACTTATTTAATTACTAAAAGTAATTGAGCCAATACTTGTGAGATTTCAGTGTGAATACTTTAGAATACTTGTGAGATTTCAATGTGAGCCATACATTTACTTTGAGTAATTTAAACTCCATATTAATATTAAAAAGTCCTCATCTCCTTAATACTCAAGTTACTCCAATCCTTATTTCAAAATTTTAATATCAAATATCAAAAAGGAAAATAGAAAATTCTCTTAAAATTAAAACAGAACAAAAAAAACTTTCAACACCTTTCATTAATTCAAATTACAAAAATTTATTAAGTGTTTTTAATTTTTTGCTCTTGTTCTATTTTAAAGACAATAGTTATAATAAAAAAAAAAGGATATTTAATTTAAAATGAAAACAAAAGACAAAAGAATGAAAATAATAAAATTAAAGGGAAAACAAGGATAATAGAATACCATCTAGACTTTTTCATTATTTTATTATGTCCCTACCGGGCAATTCATTAAAAATTTTTCTTGTATAATAAGAGGAATGGTAAGAAAATTTAAAATGAAGTTGAGTCAGATTAATAATTTGTAATGTAGCACTTTTCCCTTCAAAATATGAACAATTTCGACATGTACATGAATACAATAAAGATTGCATACATTTAGGATTAGCAATGCATGAAATCTTTGATATACAAAAAAAACAATTAAAAAGTCATTAACATAATGCTCGAATTCAATCGTTAATTTCAGTTAAGAAAAATAATTATATTTTTTGTTGGCATTGCATTTCCCATTAGCTTTCTGTATTTATAGAAATTTAGAAAAGCTTGAAGTTTCGGAAATATATGGTGCCGAAAATTCGAATTGGTCAAATTTCGAGAGGCGGCAACTTAAAAGGAGTTGGAGTTGGAAAAAAATTTTCGTCAAACGATGTAAAAATTTAATAGTGTCTAAAACTTGGTTTCCGATTCCTGTAATTTGCGGTTTAGTTTAGAAGAAAAACAATATCAAATATTTGAAAAAATCGGATTTTAGATAACAGTTAATTTTAACGATTAAGTTTGTTTTTTTTAAAGATCAACAATACTGAACCGCATTAGACAAACCTCGACAGTATTTTTCTACTTTTACTGAATTTAAACAATATTTGCCATTTCGTTGCAACAAATAGTGATAAAATGGAAATTTTTAGTACTTTGAGTGGCTATAACTTTTAAATGGGGGGGGGGGAGGAAAGGTGGGTGGTTTTCTTCTGCGGAAATATTTTTCTAGCAAAGATCTATTTACATATTTCATTACGGCTTTCTATCTTCAAGGGCGTAGAAGTTTTTTAAACATGTTCACGGACGGAAAGAAGAACGGACGAATAGAGTGAAATTAATAAGCACATTTTTTAAAAATTATTTTGGAAAAATTGCTAAAAAGAAAATTTAAAAAGTAAACAAACAAAAACTCCTTAAATAAAAATATTAACACCTACCTGAATTGTTTTAATTCCCTTTTTATTTACATAATAAAATTTTATAGGTTCTAACACCATTTTGGTAAAAAAAAACAAAAATGAAGAAACTTTTAAAGTGAAGAAAATGAAGAAAATTTATTTAAAAATTTCTAATATTGCCAAAAATAAATATGTTTCAGAAACTGATTTCTTCCTGTGTAAATTAAGAGTTACTCCGCTCAAGCTAAGACGAAAGAATTAAGGACAAAACATTTGTTCGCAGGCTTTTGAAATTCCTAGAGTATTTTCTTGGCATAATAACAAAGTGTTGGTGTATATTGTTACAAATTTATAATAAAATTTATAATGTATACAGAGTTTTTTAGCTATTCCACTAAGAATCTTTTCGACTTAGTACATCTTTAGCTTCTATTCCTATAAGTTTATTATTTTAATACAAAAAATACACACAACAAAAATTAAAGCTCAGCTTATGTTCCACAAATTTAATTTTGTGTAAATAGCCAACAACGCTGGATTAAATGGGTTAAAAAAGAATTTAAATAAGACTATACAAAGTAGTTGTACTTATAAGCTTTACCATTCATATAATTTCTTATTTCAATGTTTCTTTAATGTCCTGTGAAGATTATTCATTTTTACTTTCTTCTTATCCTTAATTCTCATTTCCTTTTGTTATCCTTATCTCGTCTCCTCTTATTTTCTCTAATATAATTATCCTTTTTATCTTTAATCTTTTCCAAAAAATTATATTTTTATTCTTTCTTTCACCATATTTTTGTTCTTAGCGTTTTCCTCGATGCAAAAATATACAAATTTTGCCGATTTACAGTATTCAACATGTTGTGAGCCTTACACTTTATTCAATAATTTCTCTCTTCCAAAGAGGGTGAAAAAGTTTGTCTCTTTCTCTCTCTTCTCAAGTTTATATTGATTAGAAGATGTGAAAGAAAGTGGACAATTGGCAGTAGGCACGTTGACCAATGTAAATTGACGGATTTTATTAGTATATTTTTCAAGTATTCTAAGTTTTCATCTTCTTTAAAATAAATTACGAAAATCACAGAGGCGCACTACATTTACAGACCATTTTAATTATCGATTTATGTTGCGTTTTATTATTTTTTTTTCTCTTTTCTCTTTCTTGCTTTTTTTGTTTTATTATTATTCTTTTTTTTTGCTCCTTAATATTTTATGTATTTAATTTTCTTCTCCATATTATAATATCCTTGTGGAAATCTTTGGTAATAACAACCCTAAGAAAGAATAAAATAAAAGTGAAAAATCCTCTTAGCGAATTCTAAAAATAAACTTTTAAAAAGAAAAAAACAACAAAAAAAAAAATATAAAAGACACCCACATTGAAGTTTCTTGTCATTTTTTTTTCTCCTTAAATACACACAAACAATATATTTAATTTGTGTACTTTCGAAACAAAATGGGAGTGGGGGAGAATAATATAGCAATGCGTTGCGGTGTTGTCGTCGGACAATAAAATTTAGATTGGGTTGTAATAATAAGGTGGTAAAAATGCGGGTACACATAGCTACACGATATTTTTAATGTTGACGCAGTATAAAATTTGAAATTGAATGAACCCATTAAAGGCATATAAAAAAGAAAAAAAAGTGAGAAAGAAAAGGAACGTCAAATTAAAAAAAAATCCTGATTTTAAAAAAAGAAAACGAATGACACAAAATTTTAAGTAATGACAGTGGAAGAAAACAAAGTTGTATAATATAAGAAATGCTATTAGTATGAATTTTTGATATTATCATGACAGTTTCTGTTATTGCAATCAAATAATAAAAATAACAAACAAAGAGAAGAAAATTCAAACTGAAGAATATTTAAAGAGAAACAAAAACGAAACAGAAAATATTTTGCGAATTTCTTCTCTCTTCTCTTTATCTGTCTCTTATGGAAAATTTTAAGTTTTTTGCAATTTTCGTTTTTTTCTTAATTTTTGTAGTCCATTTTCTGGTACGTTTTTATTATTCTTATTGAGTGCTAAACCTAAATGGAGGCGGTATGCGACAACGGAAAAATTACCGATGCCGTATACAAAAATTGTATCCTGCTGCAATAATACATTTATTGCTGTGTAAAAATATGGTTGAAATTTGTGTCAATAAAAATTAAATTAATTTTTTAGTCCCAAAATATTGAACATTTGGATTTGAAAAATCGAAGCCGATGCAATTCCTGCTCAACATTTCCGTATATGCATAGATTTAAATACATGCAACCAATTTTTTGTTTAACAATCGCATACCGCGCACATTTTAATTACCGCACACCGCATCAAATTTAATACTAAGAAATAAAAACGTTTCCGTCGGTATAAACCGACCGAATTATATCCTGCACCTTAACTATCAGAGTTTAAAATTTGTTTTTAAAATATCTAGAATTAGATTTCATTTCTGTATATCAAGCATTCGGACCTGACATATCACACTATAGAAACTGCACGGATATGTCTGACTTTAGTTTTATTATTTTTTTGAATATTTTAAATTAACTTTTGTAGTTGTATGGCAGCTACCCGAACTCGTTGTCCGAATTGGTCCAATTACAATAACAGCCGTAGTTGATACAAAATAAACAACTTGTGTAAGTTTGGTGCCGCTTGCATTATTAATTTTTGAGTTATCGTGTGATCGGATGGACAAACGGACGAACGGACATGGCTAAATCAACACAAAATTTTACGCTGACCAAGAATGTATACACATATCCGTATCGGAGACGACTCCTTCAAGTGGTTGCAAACTCCATACCAAAGTGAATATATCCCTCACGAAGGTGCAGGGTATAAAAATACCCTCTCGTCTCTTTTCTCTTCTCATATTAAGTTTTAATTCAGACATCGATTGTTTTTTTTTTTTGTGTATTTGTAGGAGATGGCGGGGGGGGGGGGGGGGGGGGGGAGATTTTGTCAATTCGTTAAAGAGCGTAGAATAAAATCAAGTAAATTATTATTTTTGTTGAATTGAAAATATAAAATGAAAGAGAATGAGAATTGAAGGAGTTCAAAACTTTGACTTTTCTTTGTTTCATGTTTTTATTGTTAAAAAAAAAATAAATTTTTTGATTTTTATTTTATTTTTTTTTATTATTCTTTCAATATTAACTAAGGGATTTTGGGAATAGGTACAATGATCAGGATAGTGGGTAAATATTAAAAATTAAAAATATAAGAAAAGAAATTTTTTTAAGACAGTTAAAAACAATAAAATTTTTAAGACGCATATCAGGATTAAGTATGTAATTGGTTTGATTATTTTATAATTTATATGTATACATACATACACATATAGGTAAATTTTTTATTTAAAAAATTAAGAACAATCTTTTTTGTTAAAAGGAATCTGTTAAAGTTTATTCTCGAATACAAATAGCGCGCCAGAGAAAATATTAAAGAAATTAAAGTGAAAAGAAATTCTAGAACGGCTCAAATTTGTTTGAATATAGAGCTCACATATGCCAATAAATTTAGAGTTGAATATACCCTTAAGATCGATTTAAACCGATATTGACGAAATTATTAATTTTTATTAAATAAAATCGTACAACTTTTATCGTTTCGTAATACGACTCTCTTACAATTAATTGACTTATTAAAGACAATATTGATTTGATGAGAATCGATTCCTTTAATTGAGCCCTTCTCAGCATTATTAATAATACAGTTTCATAAACCTCTGATTTATTCGAATTAATTTAATAAAACTATTGAATGGCTCCCAAAAAATTAAGAAAACAGAAATCTAAAATCATTTCTTTAATAATAACTTCTTCTCTTAAAAAATTCCATTAAAAATTCAAATAATAAAATTTATTATTTATATCTTTATATAGTCATCACATAGTGCTCCAGCTACAAGTAATATTGGAACAATTAGTGGTGGTGGTATTAGTACTAGTATTATTAATAATAATATACCTGGTCCAAGTACATCAGCTTCTATAGGTGTTGGAGGTGGTATTGGTGGTGTTATAGCTGGTGGTACTAGTGGAATTTTATCATCAACACATACAACATTTGGTGCTGGTTTTGGTATAACAGCTGGTAATACACATTATGGTGGTTATGGTATGGTTGGTTATGGTACACCTGGACAAATACCAAAATATCATCATTATCATCATCATCATAGACATTCATTAACAACAAGACATCGTGTTATGAGAACAAGAAGTTCTGGTGCTAGTTATAGTATATGGGATGATCCAATGATTGAGGTATGTCTACATAAATGAGCAATTCAATTATTTTTAATAAATTCTCAAATATTATAGATTTGGTTAGAGATATGAAAATATGAGTACAAATAGCTTTTTGGAACTCATAAAATCCAAATTTTTAATCAAACAATCTTAGAAACCTTTACATAAACTTGAATTTAAATTTTAAATTCTTCCCAACCAATTTGTAATTAAATAAATTTATTTAGAAAGAGAACTAGAATCTACGAATAAGCTACAAGAATCAAAAATAAAATAAAATTCCCATACCAACATAAAATTCCTAAAAGGTAAATTAAGTACTTTAATAATTTTGCATAAATTTAGGATAAAAATTAATGTTAGAATAATAAAAATACTTCGTTAAATTTTGCATAGACAACTTTAAAAACGAAATTTTAAAGAAAAATAAAAGAAATTTACATTTTCTCCCAAATTAAATTAATTGTAATTCTAAATTATTAAAATTTTCGGAAAATATATGTTTTAATACATACATAAAAATATTTATGTTTGTAAGGGGTCTATAAGGTATACATAAACATTCGTATATCAATTTAAACCGACAGGCATCACACCTTTTAGAATATTTGAATTTTTAATGTTGAAAAAATTTTAAACGTTACTATGGTGTATTGTGATTTCCGGTGAAAAGAGAAATATGTAAATTTTACGCTGTTCATACTTATGGTAAAAAGAAAAGTGAGAATTTATGAAACGGGGTAATCCAATTTTGATAACCAGAAAACACGCACAATATTATGATTTCAGCATTATTTCTATCTTATTTTCTGAAATAAATTAAGAATGCAGGAATTAAGAATAGATTTTAAGAAAAACTCAGTTAGTCAATTTCAAAATCTTCTGGATCAAAGTCTCTACAGTCATTTATTTTGTTCTGACGTATTATAAAGTATAATCGAATCTAGCTGTTCTATTCGGAAAATCAGAGAGTTATCAGAGCTCATAAGTTAATAAGTCTTGAAAAATTTGGGTTGCCCTTTCCTCCTATGCATCAAGTGGATTTATCTTAATCATTTCAACACAGATATTACTTACAATACAATTAATTTACATTAAATGAAAAGTATATTTAATTTAATAAACTTTTGTATCTGAATTCGCGTCATAATTGAATTAAAAATTAAATTTTCTTTAATGAAAATTTTTTCATGTTATTTGATTATCCTTATAAAATATTAAAAGCACAATAATTTTCTTTTCATTTTTAACAAGTTAATTTGAAATTATTCATTTATTTTATTATATATTTAATAAGAGAGTGAAAACAATTAGTTTAAGACTTATACATTGCTGATATACAATATTATAGTAGTTAACAACATTAATTGTTGAGATAATTGTTGAAGTTAATTAAGCTTGAAAAATCGAATGGGTGCGTCTAAAGTATGTTAACAAAAGAATATAGTCTAAGTAAATTTTATTCAGAACTAAATGGAAGATATACAAATAAGTTTTTTCCACCCCAATTAGACAGTTAATCTTCAATTTTTCTTCAAAATCATCTACATCAACAGGGTATATAAAATTAAGGAATATACTCCGTAAGCTGCATTAAATCCTGATATCTTTAATATCCTTCAAGGTTCTGGATACAAAATAAATTCTTCTGCACTTTCGTTTTCTTATTCTTGTAGAATTTCTACACAAATTAATTGTCGAATAAATTTGACAATCGAATGAATATTTATAAAAAATATTTTTTCAGCACAAGAGTTTTAGTAATATTATGAAGGTCGGTAAATTTAATTTTTGTGGTTATTAGATTGCCAGTTAGTGTACTTGCCGTTATAGTACCAAGATCATATTAAGTTTCACTTACAGAAAAATCAGGAAACCATTCCAAATCTATAGTGAAAAGAATAAATCCAATTATTACACTTAATTAAATGTTGTTTAATGATTTAATTAATATTTTCATGAGATTGTTTGAAATAACTTTTATTACATTGTCTTAAATAGAAGCTTCTACACTAATTCAGAACCCGCCTGTTGTAATAAAATTTGCTAAGATGGTCAGTTGATTTAATACACATTTAGTAATGTGTATCAAATTATAAATTTTAAGGTGATCAGGGTAATTCCCTATTACTTTCCTCTATAAGTTGACATATACACTTGAAAGTTTACTAAGTTCTGCCACTAATGTTACGGTTTTTTTCTGAATTTATTAAATTTTATTGAATTTATTGGATTGAATTGATTTATATCCCATAAATGTAAGGTAATATTATAACTATTCCTAATTAAAAATAATTTATATATTTCATTAAATTAAATCACATTTCCATTTTAAATTATTTTTATTATTAATTTTATATATTCATTTTATTTAAATAATGTATAGCATATGACAGGTTATTCACCAATATCATCAAGATCACATCGTATAACAACATTACCAGCATATCAAGTACAAGCTGCATTGGCGGCACGTCGTCGTGAATCAATTAATAGTTCAATTGGTGCTAATTCAATACGACGTTTATTAACATTAAATAATCATCGTCACTGCCGCCATAAAATTCCATCACATTTGCGTTCAAAAATTTGTAAAAATTTTAGTTTTTTAACAATATCACATGGTTTAATATGTGCAATATTATTTCCATTAATTGCATTACAAGGTTCTAATTCAATATGGCATCATCGTGAACAATGGATACATGTTGGTCCAAATATTGGTTCAATGCTATTAAGTATATCATTTTTAATATCATCTGGTATGTGTTTTTTAACAACACGTCTTATACGTAAAATAAATTATTTTATATTATTAACAACCAGTTATATTGGTATATGTATATTTTTATTATGTCATTTATATCCATCAATATATACATTAGTACCAGCATATATTATATTTGGTATAATATTAGGACCATCATGGATAAGTAAAATGTCATTAGTTGTTTATTATGCAAATAAAATAAGTTGTAATCAAAATGAATGTAGTTTAAGTAGTGGCGGTGGTGGTGCTGGCTCTATTAGCGGCGGTGGTGGCGGTGGTGGCGGTGGTGCTATTGATTCATTAGATCCTGATTATCGTATTAGTTGTAATCGTGATCAAAAAGTACGTCGTTTAGTTAGATGGTTTCAAGTAGCACAAGATATTGGTATTATAATGGGTGCTATTATTGCATCAATAGCTTTAAAATGTACTCCAACTGATACAACATGTTTTGGTTTTCGTACTTATCAAGAACAACAAAGAATACATTTATTATCAGATACACCAATTATTGATACATTTGATAATGATAATAATAGTCATAATTATAACAGTAATAATAATAATAATAATGGTTTAACACCATTTGATATTAATAATATTTTAGAAGAATATAATCATAGCCTTAAGCCAAATAGTAATGGTAATAAGAATCATAATAATAATAATGATAAAAATAATGGTAATAATGATAATAATGGTGCCTTATCGGCTTCAGTAACATTTGAGGAAATTTTTAAAAGTGTAACATCAGATTTAATTACGCAATTACCATCAACAACTAAAACTACAACAAAAATAAAATCTGAGAAATTACCAACTACATCATCATCATCATCGTCATCATTATTATCTACAATATCAAATTCAGATTTTAATAATAATAATAATGTAAGAACAATAGAAAATCATTATATATTTGATATGTATAATCATAATGAGCATAATGAAAGAATATGTGGAGCTGATATGTGTCCAATATGGCATTTAACTGAAGATCAAGATACTGGAAATGATTCAACATTTTATTCAAATTTTATACATGAAGGTGGTAAAATTGGGTCACTAACATTAATATTAGTTTTTCTATTTTTTGCTGTTATTGCTTTAATATTAACAATAATTAATGGTAAAATTGATGTAACCTTTCGGCATGAAAATATTAAAGGTATGACAGATACATTATTATTTGCTGGGCCAATGGCTTATTTTATTGGAACTGAACAAGGTTATATGCTAAGTGATTTTTCAAGGGTAAGCACATCATCCTTATTATATTCTGTGCATTTTCAATTTGTAATTCTGTTATATTGAAACAAATGTCATATTTGTTATCATTAACAGGCGTATGTTTCATGTACTCTGGGATTACAAATGGTAGCTGGAGTTTTAATTTGTATGGGAATAATGCAAGGAATTGTAGCATGTACATTAAGTATGTTATTAAGACATATCAAAAGAGCAGTCGTATTAGGTATAAATTAAAAATAAATTTAAAAAAATTTTATAATAAAAATATTTTAAATTAATCAAAAAACAAAATATGTCTATAGTTGCAGGATTCTTCTTTCATGCTTGTTTGCTATTAGTACTTTCACAGTGGAAACCTTCAAAGGACGATAGGTATAGTATCTTTTAAAATGAAAAATTATTAATGTTATTTAATCCCGCAAAAATATACAACTTAGAAATAATGAATTATGTATACATGTATATATATTCACGTAATGACTTAAGTATAGTGACGATAAAGATGCAGAATTCGGCTTATGTATATTGGCTATGTTGAGTATAAAATTTTAGCAATATTTCCTGACAATATGTTTTGTCATATGTGTCCATATATATAATATTGCCTATAGCGAGCCACAACAAAATAATAATATATTGCTGTACAAGTGCTAGAATCCCAATTTTTTCTCACAAAATATAAAAATACAATAAAAGCTATTTTTAACATAAAATTGCATACATTCAGGATGACCTGATTCTATATCATAATAGTAGGAAGAAATCATATAAAATCTACTAGATTTTAAGCAAAGTTTCAAACCTGTATTTATATTTTGCTTACTTGAATGAATTTTAAATATTTTTTCGTTGTTAACTTTCATAATTCATCTGGCATTTCAATTTTGTATTGGTCCAGCAACATATAATAAAGTATATTCAAGGAAAATTTAATTGTGTCATTTATTCAAATTGAATGTTTCTATTAAGGATACAGTCTAAATCTCTGATCACAAACTGAAAACTATTATCGAAAATTTACGTTATTTAGAAATCAAATTGATATTAACACGTATTACATTAAAGATTTCAATTTATTGCAATCTTTAATCAATGGATTTCTGAATTAAATGAATGATAATTTCGAATTTATGATCACAGAAATTTCAATTTATTTGATTATTTCAATATTTACAAATAAAATAATTTCATTCTTAAATAAAAATGTTAATTAAATAAAATTTTCTCTCTCTTTTTTTTTTATTTTTCGTTCTTTCGTTCATTTTTAATAATTAAAGCGCTCTTTTTTATGTGATAGCTGCATCATGGGGTGCTTGTAATGCAATGTGGGAAACATTATTATTTGCATTAATAACATTAACACATCATGTTAATGTTGCTGAAATAATAGCACCATTACAGGCATTACGTTTTCTTGGACTTGGTGTTACATTTGCTGCACATGGATTTTTATGTGAAAATCCAAAAATTTTAATTTTAGGTATAATATTAGTTATAAGTTTACCACCATATGCTGTATTAGAAATACGTTTGGAGGCACAAAGAAAATCACAATTAATTGCATTATGACGTAGTGCTTTTAGTTAGTCAAAGGCAAAACGTCGAACGTTACGGAGACGTTCTTATTAAATTTTATATAATTTTAATAATGTGTTTATTATAAATAATTTTTATGAAAATTAATATTATTAATTTTAATTTGAAATAAATTTTTATAAAATCTTTCATTAATTTATAATAAATTAAAAAAAAAAATAAAAATATTTAATTTTTTGTTAGTAAAAATAACCTATAAATTTGTACTTTAAACTTTAAAATACCAAAAATATCTAAAGTAATTATATTATATTATTGTCAAAAACTAAAAAATTAACAACCCTATATAGATTGTACCCTATTATTGACAAGAAATAAATAAATATATAAAAAAAAACTATTATAACTTCAATTGCCAAATAAGTATTCAATTTTTTTAAATAAAAAGGAAAAAGAAAAATAAATTTGAGCCTAAATATATGCAATCGTATTTAGAATAATTTATTTGTATTATTAAAATTATAGAATTAAAAGTGTAGAGTTTGAAATTTGTAATGTAGATTTTGATTATAAGACAAAACAAAAAAATTATAAAAATAATTTATTGACAAAACAAAAAAAAAAAATAAATTAATTGCTTTTATAAAATGGCTGTAATTTAATTAATGTTAAAAATAAAATAAAAGAAAATAAAATTGATATTAAATGTAAAACACAAAGAACAAATCTTTCGAATAATTGTTGTAAAAATAAAATTAAAAAATATTTTATTTTTCATTTTAAGTTTTTGATACCTTAAAAAAAATACACTGAAAGTATTATTCTAGAATAGAGGAAGTAACGAAAATAAATGAAGAAAAGAAGTAGTGAATTGAATTATCTAAACGTATATAACAATGAATTGTATATAAAATGAAAGGTTCAAGATCAAGTTCTGTTATAGTTAGGAACTGATTTTAAGAATTAAATTTGAATAGTGCGTAAGATATAAAATCATTTTGTAGGTTCTATTTAAGAAATACCCATAATATTATGTATCCAGGATTACATTGAAAAAGTAATTTTAATTTTGGAAAACCAATCATAATAATTGATCCGATTGAAAATATGTTATGGAAATTAGTTTAATAAATTGTTTATTTAATCATTTATTATTCGTAAAATAAATAACGGCTATAGAAAAAACAGACAAATTCAATGTTTTAAAACTAAAGAGGCATTTTATCACTAAATTGTTTGCAAACAGCTACAGTATGATTAGTTTCCAAGAAAAGGCATTTTAAAGAGTTTAAAGCTACGTATATATGACTTTCAATGGAAGGTTAGTTTGGTGGAAAAATTCTCTGTAGAGATGAAGTTTTGTAAACAGACGATGGCCTGTCAGTTCGGTAGTTACCAAATGCATAAAATGATTATTTTTTCACAAGAATAGCCAGACGAAAATTCATTTTAACCAATAGACTTATATTATATTTGTTTATATCAACTGAAATTATAATGTTCAATTGAGGGGTTCAAAAATGAAACGGCCTAATCCATATAATTTTTTTGATGATGAATGAGATTTAATATTTTATTTTCTTAAAATACTCATAAAAACTTTCTAAATAGATATAATTTTTTTCGAAAAGAGGAGAGTAAGAGCTTAAGTTTTCGTTTATTTGTTATGAAGATGTTTATTCATTATTTTTACTTATTTATAATTTACATTTTTAACAAAAAAGCAAAAATTTTGCGGGTAAAGGTTAGTCAACTTTGCATCTGAACCTCTTGATTGCAATTACGTAATGATTTTGTGACTTTGATTTCAAGACAAATTCTTTTACATATTTAGAAAATTAAATTAAGGTCAGTTACGTTTCATATAGAAAAATAAAATTGATGAACTATATAGTTACTGTACCTAAGGTTTTTTTTTCGGCATTAAGTCACTTTAACCTCCCTGTCGAAAATATATACTTATTTTTTAAAAGAATGGCAATCTAAGCCAAATTAATAATATTGTTCATTTTCAATTACTATACACAAACGCTATTCTATTGGCGGTAAAATTCATCAAATATTGTCAAAAGAACAACAATTTTCCGGGAATTTAATTTTGATTAGAGAGTTGTTTTTAATTAATTTTAATTCATTTGTTAGAAAACTATAATTCAAAATAAGTAATTATATAACAAATATTAAAAAAAAAACCATTACAACTAAAATATTTTACAAAAACATTAAAAAAAAAAAACTATGTAAGTGTTCAAAGAGAAAACATTATAAAAGAATTTTTAAATATAAAATTAAATTATAAAAATTAATTTGAATTAAACTAAAACAAAAAGGAAACTATATAAAAAAAAATAAATAAGAAAATTAAAAAACAAATAAATTAAAATTTTGATGAATTTTATTATATAATATTTAAATTTCGGAAATATATTAAAATATTATAATTAATTAATAAAATATATATAAAATAAAAACAAAATAATTAAAATTATATATTAAGAAATTTAAAAATAAATAAATAAAATATTATTAAAAAAAAAAGAAAGGAAATTGTTAAATTTATAATATCAAATTTTTTTAAGTGAACACATAAAAATTATTTAATATAACAAATATAATATAAATTATATATATATTATGTATATTATGTAGTGCCAAAAAATAAAAATTAACTATTAATACTTCTTACATATAACTTTTATATAAGTTTAATTATAATTAGAAATATTATTGTATAATCAATCGAAATAAACACATTAAAAACACATTAAAAAAACACAAAGAAAACATAAAAAACAATATTATGTATTTAAATAAAATTTGATGAATAATAAAAATTTTTATAATAATTGCACACACTATATTTAATCTCGAAAAATAATTATTTAGAACACACATTTTTATAATCAATAAAAAAAAAATTAAAATAAACTAAAGAAAATTATATATTATCGTGTCGCATGCTCAATACCGTACGCATAACTTGTAAATTCCCAGGAGTTCAAAGGACACACAAAAATTGAGTAATCAAGTCAAATATTACCTTTACCCATATTCAGCATTTTATCATCGTTTTACGAAATTGGTAAAATTATTTAATACCAAATTAATTAAAATTTTTAATACCGAAATATTTTCACTGTGTCCCGGAGTCGGTTTCAATTAAAAAATATCTATATAGATTTTGCATGTGTTAACTGTAAGGAATCCCCCCCCCAAACAAAATTTATTTTAGGGTGTGAGAAGCATAAAATATAATACATTGGCATAATGCTTATATCTCTTAACAAACCCATATAATTGTGCGGTATGGTATGCGGCACGATAATATTGCGTCAATGTCAATAAATTTAATATTAAATTAAAAATTATTAATTTTAGTTTCTTTTTAAAAAAGAAATATCTATATTGTAATTTTAGGAAATTTTAAGAAACTCTTAAATTTTTTTAATCATTTTTATCAATTCTATATATCATAAAAATTTATAATTTTTCTATTTATTTTTCATTTATTATAATAATAAGTATATATATACTTACTTATATATTATATATTAATTATCATTAAGTAAGCGAATTTATAGTCTGTGAAAATGAATATTAAAAAAAATAAAAATAAATATTAACGAAATTTATATTAATAATTATTAATATAATATTAATAATTAATAAAATATAATATGAAAATTTAAATACAATTATATATATACATATATATATATGTTACAATTATATATATATATATATATATATATAATACAATTATATATATATATATATATATATATATATATATATATGTTATAATAATATACAAGTGTATATTTAACAAAAATCATACATATGTATATACATAAATATCGTATTCCATTATTATCATTATTAAATATATAAATTGTATTAAAATATTTTTTAAGAAAATTTTTGATTTTACTAATCGGAAATTAAATTGAAACGGTATTAAATAAAAAAATAAAAATTTATAAATCACAATGCTGTACTTACATGTTATGTATGTATGTATATTGTACAAAAAAAAAAATGTTAGAAAAAAATAAAATGTTAACATGTTTAATATTGTGAAGAAATGAGAAAAATGTATTAAAAAATATATGAAATAGATATATATATACATAGATATATATATGTATATAAAAATTTATTAAATAAAAATTACTTATGTGTTTGTTATTTTTAAATTTATATTTTCAGTTCCCTATATACCTGTGTATATAGTATCATTGTTATATTTGATATTATAATTTAAATATTAGAGTATAAGGACCACAATCGTTGGCAACCCCAAATTTCGTTATACAGATATTGGCCTATAAGATTTTTCAAATATCTGCAAGAATATTTTTGTTACAGCTTATTATCACATATTAAGGGATTATTTGACAGTTCCTAGTGATCACGAAAAACATTTATAATAAAAAAATTGGCTGAATGTGACCCATAGCTGATAAAATTTCGAAAAACTTAAGAATAAAGTACAATTAAAATCAATTTAATATATTATTTGAAACTTTAGTTTTGAATCAAAGATTAAAATTAAATTTGCAATTGTACGATAACATGATAATTTTGTTCACTATAGATCACTTTATGCTGAACTGTTAAAATTTCTGTTGTGAAGTGTTTTTTTTTTGTATAGGAAACAAATTCGTTTTGAAAACAAATTTTTTCTCTTTAATTCAAACCAAATTATGAAGAAAAGAAACAAAGAAACGGCATGAAGTTTTGCAATTTAATATTAAATAATTAAAATTAAAATGAAATATGTTCTTAGATAACAAAAATACAATATTAAGACTGTAAAAACATAAAACGAATATAAAACGATATAAAACGAATTAAAAACATACGGTTTGGTTTTACAGTTTGTAACTTAATAAGCATAATACAATTATAATAAGCATAATTACCGATATTTATTTCATGATAGTTTTTTAATTTCAGTCATTTGAAGATTTATTTAAGATAACTGGCAGTACTTTACGATCAAATATTAAATACAAAACAATTTTTATTCTAGTTACTATTAAACTTTTAATTTGCTCTCATTCTCTTTCCCAATCATTTTATAATAATTATAATGGTATTTTTAATTTTATACTCATTTTCATATCAAATTAATATTTATTATCAAATTAAACGAAAATGAAAATTTCAATTTCAATTATCAATAAAATAAAAATTAAAATCATAAATTAAAATTAAATTCTCTCACACTCTTGAGACATTTCTTATCTTTCTCTTATTTTAATACAATTTTTTTCTCTGTCATTTTTCTTAATCTTAATTTTTTTTAAATATTAATTTCATATTGTTATTAATTTTGTTTACTTCTCTCAATTTTCAATTGAATTCAATAAAATTTACTATTGAGAATATTAATCAAAATTTTTAAAT